AGGGCCTGGCGTGCTCTGGTCCATGCGGTCACGAAGAGTCAGACACAACTAAACGACTAAACAACAACAAAAAGCACCATGTCTTCCCTGGTATGTGTTAAGGAGCATGGAGGACACAGTCATGGGTGTGAAGTTGCCTGCTCTTCCCTGCTTTCTCCTCTGTGAGAGTGGAATTTTTAAAAAATTAAAGCAAGTATCCAAAGTACATTTTTAGACAGCTTTTCATACACTACCGCTTTGACTGGATTGTTAGTACTACTTGTGGTTTCTATTTTTGTGGTTTTCATTTCTCAGAAACCTTTTTATAATTTTTGTATACTGATTGATCTTTGCCTTAATGTTGCCTATTAGTTGAGGTAAGATGCTTCCTTATTCATTGTTCATAATTTTAAAATATTGTCTTTCTATCATGTTAACCACCGTTGTATATTCATTTTTTTCAGCTTTAAATATGGGTCTTTCCTCGTTGTAAGCCGCTTTGGGTCCTTTTCAAGGAGAGAGGCAGGGTGGATAAGTAAGTAAATAAATAAATAGACAGCACACTAACTGAAATCTATCTGTACTTTGGCATGATTAATCTCCTCTGAGGTGCTGCCGTATCTTTAAAAACAAACCAACCTGTAATGGTCATTTTTGGCCTGGGTTCTAGTGGTGGGGAATCCATGAGTGACTTCTTACTGTTAACAGCTCCCCTCACTCTACCGCAAGGCTTCCTTCCCCAGGGTCAAAAGTGAGCCTTTGAACCTGAAAGGAGCAGAAGAGGGGAGATTTCAATTTCTTTGAAGTAAATACTTTTGGTACCCAATCTGGGTTTGTGGCATGCAAAGTCATGCCGGCAGGATTTAGGGCCAGTGGGAGATGGGTTGACTCAAGGGTGCACCCCAGTTCAGTCAGCTGAGGTCAAAATTGACCTGGGCAAAATGGGGACAACTGGACTGGGATCTGAATTGGCAGAAAGGGAGGTTGCAGTCTTCACACTCTTTTGAGAGGATTGGGCCCCTACCCAATGGGGCACAGTCCCATGTTGTGGTCCTCAAGGGAGGCCTTTCTCTTGGTCCCACCACCTTCACAGGTGCATCTCAGATGGGGACATGGCAAAAGAGGGCTTTCTCTGTGGCTGCTCCTTTAGGCATCTCAGATGGGGACACAGGAGAAGAGGGTCCTTCTCAGTGGCTGCTCCTTTAGACTCTGGAACTCCCTCCCACTGAGCCCCCTCTTGGCTGTCCTTTCACAAGCAGGAAGAGACCTTTCCCTTCAGGCAAGCTGCACAGTCCCAGAGCACCCTCTAGAGGAAGGGAAGGGTAAAGCACCTCTGTGTATTCTCTACCAGGGAAACCCTGGAAAGGGTCTGCATTAAGTCGGAATTGACTTGACGGCACATGATGATGATGATACTATTAAAGGTTCAGTGGCACTTTGGTCTAAATGTTGCTTCATCACATTACTGGGAAAATGCCTGCCACTGGAAACTAGTACCAGGCGGAACCCCAAGGGAAAGTTCAGCAGATGTAAACAACGCCTTTGATCTTGTCAGTGGCTATTGTCCGTCTGTCACACAAAGGCCACTTTGCAGTTGTCGTGGTTGAAGGTTCCGCTCCACTGCATCACCACCTGCTTAAAAACCATTTTCTCAGACCCATTCAGATGTTGTTTTTCATTGCCACGCAATTATTTTTCCTCTCCCAGCACACACACACACACACACACAAAACCCTACACACAAAAGACACAATCCTAAAGCACTCTTCTGAAGAACAAAGGCTTAGGTCAGGATCGGAGATCAAGGGAGGATTTGAGCGGAGTCTGCCCTCTTCACTTGTAAAGATTGTCAGCAAGATGCCTGCCTGCATTCCGGAGCGGACGGAAATGAAGCCCCATCTAACATTCCAGCGAACAGAAAGAATCACGTGCCCCTTCTTTGACAGTAACATGCTCCCAAAGGCTGCGAGCATAGGGACCAAATGCGTGACACCACGAACTGCCAGTTCACACGGATTTCCCCCATGGGCTCTGCACCTCTGGGGAACCAGGCAGGACGGTGCAGAGACGGTCTGGATTCATTGCAAAAGTCTGCCTTTTCAGGAGACAGCATTGAGGTGGGCAACTTCAGTGTTTTCTAGGACAGGAGTGGGGGGGGGGAGTGGGACAATACAGTGCTTAAGGGCACTTTTGCAGCTCCCTCAAAACAAGGCACCCAAAATAGGGCAGCAAATTGCTTTTCACCTGCAAAAATCTCATTTCAAACAAGTATTCTGCTGGCTTTAAAGTATTTTGCTTGCTACCTGCTGGAATTGTGTTTGCCCTATATCGACAGTGCAAGATGCCTTGACTTCATAGTAGGGAAAACAGGGAGGGGGAGAGAAATAGTCACCTTTAACCGCTTAGGAGCAGCCGTGCACGAGAAAGTCAGAAGGAACGCCGCTGGCCAACTCAGCATGAACTGTTGTTTACTTTTGCCTCCTTTTCCTGCTCAACATCTTCTTCTCTGTGAAGCCGTGAGCCACACGGCAGTTGAGGGGGAAACTGTGCGTGAAAACACCTGGCAGCACGAACTGGCAGTTCATGGTGTCGCGCATTTGGTCCCTGTGCTACCTTTGGGAGGATGTTACATGCATTTTCTTTGGATCTGGACCAGCACAATATCAAAGGATCCTATACAATGCTCTAAATCTGTCTCTGATTCTACTAACCCATTTGATGACTGAGAAACTGTAAATTCTTCTGCCACTTGCTCGCTAAGAATCCCAATCCGGAGATTTCATGATTTCAGAAGAACAGGAAGGAGTATATTGTTCCCAGGTAAACCATAGGCAAGAAGTAAATGTTCCCAAGCAGACAAGAAGCAAAGGAAGATGGTAACACCGGAGAGGACTTGCTTGGGAGAAAAACTACTATTTCACAAGTGTGGTTTGTGTGATACCACAAAGGTTTATTTTTAATGAAAAAATACTGAAAAGTGTCCCACGGTGTCCATAGCTCCATTTGAGAAGTACAAAGATATGTCATCTTGAGGAATAAAGTCTTAACACTGTAGAAAATAAATGTGGTCTTTAAAATTATGTCTCCTTGTTCCAAAGGAAAAAAGAAACAGGGGGAAACGAACAGTAGAAAAAGTAACGCTTTTTACACAGTGGAATAAAACAAAACAATTAGTCAGAGGTAATAATAAATTATAATTACAGTATTTCAAAATATATGCCCCATGCCTGTTTGCGAGTGTTAGTGCCTTGAATGAGTTCTGTTAGCACAACTTTCTGAGTCTGCCTTTCGGGAGGAATCCCCGGTGGACCCAAGAGGGGAAAAAGACGTCAGATTACCACAATGATACCCATTTGCTTCTTAATTACTGGCACTAAGGACGCAGACCGTGGCTGTTTGAGGTTTGCAGGCCTTTTTCTTAAAGGAAAATGAATTCCATTTTAGCAGACTAATCTTTGCACTTTGAGAAAACGAACTTGCTTAAACAAGGGTTTACAGCTGATCTCTAAAGGAGTCGCCCTACCACGGATGCCGACGTAACCACAGCCGGCTGATGCGTCTGGGTTGGAAGCGTGGGAACGGAGATTCGTCTTTCCAAGAAGGCCTCAATTAGCACAGAACTGGAAACGTGGCTCGAACGACGAATCATCTCATAAGAAATCCAGACATGCATTTAAACCTGAAACCACCATGCCTTGCAAACAGATGCTGCCCATTCAGATGGTCGCCTGCTGTTTGCCAAGCTCAGACTTTCCTCCCCTCCCCTCCCAATGCTGTTCTCCCCTACCCTCCCACAAAAGCGGAAATCAAACAGAGTCTATGTGTGACTTGAGGTTGTCCTCTTCTTGGTCCTGCTTGTACATGAAGGTGAGCAGAAAGAGGGCTATGTCCATAGATGACCAGTAGGCTGTGTGCGACGTGACCGCAGACCAGTACCGGCTTTCCACCAAGCCTTCCCTGAGCTCAAAATCGATCCGATGTTCCAGCTCCACTAGGCAGGGAAAAGCAAAAGAGGGTGGGGATTAAATGCCACGTTCCTAAGGAGAAACCCACACCCCTTTTCCTCCTCCAGGCTTTTTGTCCTCCAGTTTCTCCCTGTCCAGCTCACGGGGACAGGAGGGTAGAAAAGTTGCCATGGCACGAAGCTGCACCCCTGCTCTCCTAACAGCTGTGGATTGGGGACAGCTCTCTCAAGAGGAGGACAGCTGCGTTGAAGCAGGGAGCGCGGGAGAGCAGGGAATGGCCCAGGCGACCAAGGCAGGGGTGGATGGTAGACCACCTGCTCTTCAGAGCTGCCCCTTTCTGGCCTTTTGGAAAAGGGGGCGGGGACCCATGAAAGCAAGAGAGCGATTCTGTGGGGCTAGGAGACTTGAATCCATTCCCTGTCTCTTTGGAAAGCAGCAAAATGAACTGGAATTAATTCGACTTTGCCACGGTCTGAATTCCGCCCGGGGTTTTTTTGGACATCCTGGAGGCCAGCTGAGCTACTCCAAAGAAATGTGGGCTTCTAGGAGGAACTCTTCCGTAGACCTCGAGCTCCTCAATGTGGTTCGGAAAGCTACTCACCCTCACCCTTCTTTGGTGAACTCAAACTCAAGACTCAAGACGGGCTCCTGGTTTGCCGCTGTGATGGCCATGAAAGGACCCTACGCCCCCTGTCCCTTTCAGAGCCCTATTTTTTGGGGGAGGGGTGTCGTCACCGCAAGTCAGGTGGGACCTGCTGGCACATGACACACATACATAGCTGGGGTACATGTGCAGCCCTAACAGAGCTTTTGAGGGAAGTGAGGCATGGAAGGAGCGGTTTAACCACTGCCAACAATGCCCCCCCGCTGCCAAATTTCCATGGCCAAGCAGGAATGTGAACCAGATAGGAGAGGATTTTTAAAAGCTATATAGAAAGTGTCTATTCTGCATCTGAGGGCTCTGGTTTTCAGGCCTCGATTTGTCAGATTTCAGCAACGAAGGAACGAACCGAGTCCTTAAAAACAGCTAGGGAAGGATGACGACAACCCTGTGATCTGACCGTCGCTCATCTACAATCGGGGTGCCTCTTACGATCCTTGGGGAAAACAATTCCCTTTAGGAGAGAGGGAGGGCAGGACCAGGATTGGCAAAGGGGAGCAAGAGAGCCAACCGGCGGCCTTACGTGTTGGGTCAAGGAAGCCGGAGCTGCTGTGCGGGAAGGTCTGAGTCCCGATGGACGTTTGGCTCAAGGCCACCTTCTTCTCCTCGACTTCCACCCCGTCCTTTCCTGCCTCGAGGACCTGGGAGGCGGGAGCACTCGAGCGCCCAAAACGTGAGAAGAGCATCCCGCCGAGGCCCTTGCCGATGCTTGCAGCTCCTGTACGGAACACAACGGGGCAGGTGTTATTCCTCTTAGGGTAAATTGCACATTTACGTGAGCAACACAACAACTGGGGCCCAAACCAGAAGGCGCCTCCTGCTCCTCTTTTTCCCTCCAAGGTGGCGGTTTCCTGGCTCCCATTGTTAAACCCAGTGTTGGGTGGATGTTTCCACCCACCCCAACGAACCAGCACTGCCAGCATTTCTACAGAAGAGCAAACTGTCTGGACGACGGGTCCATGTATTTAAAAAGCACGGCTAGCATCTAAAGGGGTCTGGCTTGGCCTTGCCTTTTCTGCCAGACTCTGCTGCCCCCTTGTGGATAAAGCAAGGAAGCCCCTCTCCCCCCACAAAAACAACAGACGAAGACGTGCCATCCCTTCCACCATGCAAAAGCAAGGGAAGGCGAGACCCCTTTATTAGACCACACTAAATTAAAGGCGGATAACCCAGCTGCGGTCCTATCTTGATGTGGGGGAGAAAAAAACACACGTTTTCAACCTATACTAGTCTTCATCAGGCTGTGTACCAATATATTGAGGATGGTGCAGGAGAAAAAAAAAATCGACCACCACCAAAGTCATAAAAGCCGTATTTGCATTTTGGAACTCACTTTTAAAGAGCAGACTCGGAACACACACACCCTGCTTAACTTCGAAGACTTTTGTACCTGTTCTCTGCACTGTCCACAACATATTGTACCAATGTATTGGTGCACAACCTAAGGAAGACTATTTTTAATTCAAGAAAACAAGGTTGGTCTCATAAAGGTCTGCCCTGCCCTCGCTTAAGTCTTGCCTTCTTAGCACCACTGAGTGTTCCAGCGGGTCTCTGCACTCCTGGTGTCTTTTGCTCGGCACCTTCAACATAGGCACATAGCAAACATGCTTGCTGGCACATCTTGTTAGAGCCATGACCCACCCAGAGTGGTTGCTGTGTAACATGCAAAGAAAAGTCCATGGACAGAAACAAAAGGCTTCAAGGTATGACGCTGGAAGATGGGCCCTTCAGGTCAGAAGGCGACCAACGTCCTACCGAGGAAGAGCAGAGGACACATACAAGTAGCTCCAGAGCTAATGAAGTGGTTGGGCCAAAGCCGAAAGGACGCTCAGCTGGGAACGCACCTGGAAGTGAAAGGAAAGTCCGATGCTGCAAAGAAAAATACTGAATAGGAACCTGGAATGTAATATCTATGAACCTTGGGAAGCTGGATGTGATCAAACAGGAGATGGCAAGAATAAACATTGACATCCTGGGCGTCAGTGAACTAAAATGGACAGGAAGTCTACATCCCAGTCCCAAAGAAGGGCAATGCCAAAGAATGCTCCAACTACCGCACAATTGCACTCATTTCACACGCTAGCAAGGTTATGCTCAAAATCCTCCAAAGTAGGCTTCCGCAGTATGTGGACCGAGAACTCCCAGAAGTACAAGCTGGATTCCGAAGAGGCAGAGGAACTAGAGACCAAATTTCTAATATGCGCTGGATTATGGAGAAAATCAGAGAGTTCCAGAAAAACATCTACTTCTGCTTCATTGACTATGCAAAAGCCTTTGACTGTGTGGACCACAGCAAACTATGGCAAGTCCTTAAAGAAATGGGAGTGTCTGGCCACCTTATCTGTCTCCTGAGAAATCTATATGTGGGACAGGAAGCAACAGTTAGAACTGGACATGGAACAACTGATTGGTTCAAAATTGGGAAAGGAGTACGACAAG